ACACGTGAATATCTGTTCAATCCAGATATGGTTTAGCTCTGGAGTGAAACCGGTGAGAGGTTTTCATGTTGTTTCGACTCGGGTACCGAATGTTCTTTAATAAAAAATAAAAAATTTTTTTTTGAAAGATAGTTTTCTAAGTAAATCACAATATAATAATACAATTGCATTAGAAGGTGAAGTAACGCTCGCATTAAATGTTTTATCTAAATTCTTTAAACAATTTAAGAGTGATTCAGTAAAGTGAGTTTTTCATGTTGTGAATTCATGTATTTTCAACGACCTTATGATTAGACAGGATCTGCTTACATTAGGGTATTCTATAGGGATTAAAAATAATGTCTCATTCTTAAAACAAACAAGATTGGAACTGAAAAATCATTTGAATAATGTCATAGAGAGAATTAAATAAGAATACGGTGTCTGATAGATATCCTTTGCCACTTATTTCGAATCAAAAATGCTTTCATTTCGCCGCGACAACAGACCATTGGTTGAAGGCTAAACAAGAAATAGATAACGAAATTAATTTTATTATCACGAAACTAGAGGCAAACTATTTTAATAGTGATATCTTTAAAACTTACGAGATAAGACGCGCTCTTCTTTTTCGGAAATAATGAGAGCTCTATGTTGCCTTTAGTGTTTAGGGAATTTCCGTGAGCTAATCTCGTGTCCATGGTGTATTCTCAAGAGAACTATGAGATTCTGTAGGGAAGCCTTGTGGAGCCGTGAAGAGACAAGTATTACACCATAGATCTGGAGAGCGTGACCTCTGAGCTAATCACGAGTTACCCTTGAGCTAACCACAGGTCCTTGCTGTATCCTTGAGAATACCATGAGATTACGAAGAGCGGCCTTGGGAAACTATGAGTAAATATGAAGTCACTCAATCTATAAGAACTTACATGATTTTGATATCAAACAGCCGGCGCCACGGCTTTATTTAGAATCGACTGTAGACATACTCTCCGCAGTAATATTAACAACATGTCGGTCAACACACACAGCAGTGCCACTAAAAAAAAAAAACGATGTTATAATTCAAATGATAGCATAATTGACTCCAAATTTCTAATCAAATACACCTATTGCGAGTACAGCTAAGTTTTGTTCCATTTCTGCTAACCGTAGTCAAACGTTTGAATCATGTTGTCGACCGAAAAAGGATATCACGCCGAATTTAAATTTAATATCAACTGGTAAATTTAATCTTAATAAAATGCATGATTTCAGGGGTGCGTTATACAAGAATCAATGGCAAATAACATATCCGGGAATAGAAAACAAATCGTCAACTATTTGCGATGATTGAGGCCGGGCTCTATTATTCCTATAAATAGTATTATGTAATTACAAGCATCAGCGTACATCTGACAAATTTAGTATCCTTGACGATATTATGAACATACGAACAAGTCAATCCCGCTTTAACAGTTTAGATTACATTTTGACAATCCGTCCGTGGATATCGAAGCAACACATTTAAAACAGGATGGTCGAGGCGGAAAGAATATATAAAGTTGGATTTAAGAGATTTCGAGCTAAAATTTAAATAATTCCAGAATGGAGATTTTATATAAAAAATATCACAGAAAAAGTGAATAGAAACCGAGGAACTACTAATATATAATACTACTACCTAATAGTTATCCGGTGAGCGTATTTCATTTTGTTCAATTTACTTCATTTCAAACGCATTGCGTATTTTGTAGCTAGAAGTGTGATATTCAAACATATATGTATTTTGAGAAATATTACTATAAAAGACGCATTTGGCGTGCAGATCCGAACCATAACAAAAAAAAAAAAAAAAAGAGAATTATAATAATAAAAAATAAAATGAAAATGACAATAAAAATAAAAAAATTGTTGTAGACGGGTGGAGACGTCTTACGACAAATAATAATAAAAAAAAAAAAAAAGAAAAGAAAAAAATAAAAATAAAAAAAATGTATACGGATGGAGACGTCTAACGATGAATAATAATGATGATAAAAAATAATAATAATAATAATAATAATAAAAAAAAAAAAAAAAAGAATTATAATAATAAAAAATAAAAATAAAAATGACAATATAAATTGTTGTAGACGGGTGGAGACGTCTTACGACAAATAAATTAATAATAAAAAAATAATAATTAAAAAATGTTATAGGCGGGTGGAGACGTCCTATGACAAAATATGTTATGAATGTTCGAGTGATGCCCCAAAGCCATAGTAGCTTAGATAATTGGACGTGATATTATGACCATCCAAAGATGTGTCGTAGTAAACAACGTCACCCATACGATCAAAACAAATTTGATATTCATAATTGTAACAATATAAAGTTATCTAGGGTTACTGTGGAAGTACCTAGACTACAAAAGCATTTATCTTTTATCACAGAGCAAACATCAGTATGACCGTATCGGCATGACTTCGGAAGATGAAGCATCAATTCTTGATCCTGTCCCATCTACCTTACGAGACGCGCGACTGGTCCAAGCACATAA